TGACGGGTGAGGGTGTGGGGCGCTTGACGGGTGAGGGTGTGGGGCGCTTGACGGGTGAGGGTGTGGGGCGCTTGACGGGTGAGGGTGCGGGGTGCTTGACGGGTGAGGGTGCGGGGTGCTTGACGGGTGAGGGTGTGGGGTGCTTGACGGGTGAGGGTGTGGGGCGCTTGACGGGTGAGGGTGTGGGGCGCTTGACGGGTGAGAATGGGGGTTGCATCCGGATGTGGTGGTGGTATTGTTTTTGTGTGGTGGTAGTCATGATGGAGAGATACAAGAAAGATAAAGTTGTAGAAATGTGGAACATAGCTATTTGTATCTACAGAACCAGGGCTATTAGCTCTTGGACACCGTCTTTCTAACCAATCTGTGTGTGTGTGGGGGGGGGGCTAAGGTTGCTTTCTCTTTTGCACGGAGATGCAAGTGTTTATAAGCTTCTTCAAATATATATTTCAACATATATAGATGTCTACAGATGACTGCTGTGTAGCATTCGTACACACACACACAGATCATCACATGAGAGGCGGGACCAAAGAGCCAGAGCTCAGCCCCCGCAAGCACAAATAGGTGAGTACATAGATGTTTACATACATTTTTAGACGTTTTGTTTATAGTAATTTTTGTTATTATATATTTTGTTTTAATTTTGTGTTTTTTGTGCTGTAATTTATCTTGTAATTATGTATTGCCGGGCTGAGTTTCCAGTGAGGCTCTTGGGCCACCAGCTGTGGGAGCGGGGCGTCTCATCTTGGGCCACCAGCTGTGGGAGCGGGGCGTCTCATCTTGGGCCACCAGCTGTGGGAGTGGGGCGTCTCATCTTGGGCCACCAGCTGTGGGAGCGGGGCGTCTCATCTTGGGCCACCAGCTGTGGGAGCGGGGCGTCTCATCTTGGGCCACCAGCTGTGGGAGTGGGGCGTCTCATCTTGGGCCACCAGCTGTGGGAGCGGGGCGTCTCATCTTGGGCCACCAGCTGTGGGAGTGGGGCGTCTCATCTTGGGCCACCAGCTGTGGGAGCGGGGTGTCTCATCTTGGGCCACCAGCTGTGGGAGTGGGGCGTCTCATCTTGGGCCACCAACTGTGGGAGCGGGGCGTCTCATCTTGGGCCACCAGCTGTGGGAGCGGGGTGTCTCATCTTGGGCCACCAGCTGTGGGAGTGGGGCGTCTCATCTTGGGCCACCAGCTGTGGGAGCGGGGAGTCTCATCTTGGGCCACCAGCTGTGGGAGTGGGGCGTCTCATCTTGGGCCACCAACTGTGGGAGCGGGGCGTCTCATCTTGGGCCACCAGCTGTGGGAGCGGGGTGTCTCATCTTGGGCCACCAGCTGTGGGAGTGGGGCGTCTCATCTTGGGCCACCAGCTGTGGGAGTGGGGCGTCTCATCTTGGGCCACCAGCTGTGGGAGCGGGGCGTCTCATCTTGGGCCACCAGCTGTGGGAGCGGGGCGCCTCATCTTGGGCCACCAGCTGTGGGAGCGGGGCGCCTCATCTTGGGCCACCAGCTGTGAGAGCGGGGCGTCTCATCTTGGGCCACCAGCTGTGGGAGCGGGGCGTCTCATCTTGGGCCACCAGCTGTGGGAGCGGGGCGTCTCATCTTGGGCCACCAGCTGTGGGAGCGGGGCGTCTCATCTTGGGCCACCAGCTGTGGGAGCGGGGCGTCTCATCTTGGGCCACCAGCTGTGGGAGCGGGGCGTCTCATCTTGGGCCACCAGCTGTGGGAGCGGGGCGTCTCATCTTGGGAGTCATCTTGATGGCAATTGTTTTTCCTTCGTTTCATTTCCTTCAACATTTCCACGCCCCGGGATGGGTATGGGGTGCATAAAAAGGAAATATATTTAATTTAATTGGTGGCTTGGTGTTGTAGCATGTCGTGTTCAGTGGTTGCATGGCCAGAGCTTCATGGCATTCCTGAATTGAACAAATCCACAAGGGCCGTGAGGAGGGTTCGAACCTACGTCCGAGAGGATCCCAGACGCTGCCTTAATCGACTGAGCTACGGCCCTTGTGGAGTTGTTCATTTGATGCATCACGCTATTATGATTTCTGTGAGTAATTCCCGAATTGTTTGATCATAACATGAACGGTGTTTTGCTGCTCTTTTTAGTGCCTTGTTTTGCACTGCCTGTAGTTTGTGTATGTTCAGTTTTCTTTAAGGTATGTAGTGGTATTGGAAGGTATTTGAGATGCGGCCGGCCTAGTGCCTTATGTGTGTGTTGGTGGTGTGTGATGTTCGCCAAGATCTTTGTTTAAAATTATTATTATTATTAACATCTTTATTGATAAAAAATGCAGACCTTATGTATATATTTGATAATGTTAAAGTGATATTCAACAAGATGATGGAATCTTGGCAGTTTACCTAAGGCTGTTTTTGTTAGATTTATTCTGTCATTTAGTTGAATTTGGATTCCTGTTCTATTGATCTTGATATCCAGCATTTTGCCTACATTCGTATGCTGGCTTGGGTGCAAGCGAGGAGTCACAATAACGTGGCTAAAGTATGTTGACCAGACCACACACTAGAAGGTGAAGGGACGACGACGTTTCGGTCCGTCCTGGACCATTCTCAAGTCGATTGTGAATGGTTCAGGACGGACCGAAACGTCGTTGTCCCTACACCTTCTAGTGTGTGGTCTGGTCAACTGGCTTGGCTGCTTGTCAAGGATAATGGCCGCTGGATTTATTTTTGTCATGTGTATTATTTGCATTTTTTTATTGTACTTATTTTTCAATTGCTTTTCAAAATGATTTATGAATTATAAAGCCGCCTGGGTTTTATTGGTCAATAAAGTATTTGATTGCCCGGAGTGACAAGTTTATTTGAGTTACGTAATCCGCAGGGGTTGAGCTTCGGCTCTTTGGTCCCGCCTCTCAACCGTCAATGTACTACGTGTTGAGAGAGTTGGTGATAGCCAGCCTCCCTGTGGCATCCCACTTCGTCACTAAATGTTGCTGCTCGTGCTGATCTTTGCTGTTCTGTTATCTATAAAGCTACATATAGTGTGGCAGTCTCTGTGGAAATTCTAATACTGTTATCTTGTTCTTTTTAAACCATTTTGCCAAATTTTGTCGAAAGTCTTCGATATATCAATGAATACTACATTACAGTGTTCTTGAATTTTTTCAGCCATGGAGCTGGTTTATGTTAATAGATCAGGGTTATACAGCTGTATGAGCCCCTCTAGTGGTTTCTAAAGGCCATGTTAACTGATGTTATAATTGTTTCTCTTCCTAGAACTTCATCGGTTATTGGTTAATTATTTTTTCGAATATTTTACCTGGTATCTCAAGGTAAATTGATGTGTAAATTTGTGTGTTGATGGTGTGCCTGACTAAGGAGTTAATGTCATAGTGGCATTGTTAAAATAGGGGCCTGACAGCCGAGTGGACAGCGCCTGGGATTCGTAGCCCTTAGGTTCCGGGTCCGATCCCCGGTGGTGGAGGCGGAAAGAAATGGGTAGAGTTTCTTTCACCCTGATGCCTCTGTTACCTAGCAGTAAATAGGTATCTGGGAGTCTGGGAGTTAGACAGCTGCTACGGGCTGCTTCCTGGGAGTGTGACAAAAAGGAGGCCTGGTCCAAGACCGGGCCGCGGGGACGCTAAGCCCCGAAATCATCTCAAGATAACCTGAAGATGGATCCGTAATGCGTTATAAGTTGTAGGAGTGTGTGTATATATATATATATATATATATATATATATATATATATATATATATATATATATATATATATATATATATATATATGTATATATATAGTCTATTGATAGTGCAGGAGGTAGGGAGGGAATTATCAGGGAAAAGCGCCAAGCCATTACGACTATATAGCAGAGTGTTATATCTGGTTTGTTGTGTTGTGAATTACAACAGATGGTGGAGGGTGTGGGAGAGCACTGTGTGGTGAGCTTTACACAGGGCTTCCTTCACCCAGTTTTTTCTATGATGTTTATTCATTTATTTAGTTCTGTGTTTATGCTTGATATTTCCTTGCTTCGGAAATCTTTGAGACTGATTTCCTGTGAGCTGCTTTTTAAATGCCTCCCAGAAAAAGTCAGTTTTTGTATATTAGAGTTTTGAATCCGAGGGTTTGTGCGTGAGAGAACTGGATAAGCACCTCCAAAGGATACCTGATCAACCAGGCTGTGACTCATACGTCAGGCTGCGAGCAGCCGCGTCTAACAGCCTGGTTGATCAGTCCAGCAACCAGGAGGCCTGGTCGACGACCGGGCCGCGGGGACACTAAGCCCCGGAAGCACCTCAAGGTAGCCTCAAGGTAGGTGGGGCTCTTTGATAAAGTCAATATTACTGGTAGGCGGCGGTGACTTGGCCTCTCTCAATACGTGTATTTAGAAAGTGGTGTGTTAGCTTTATGTTCCAAATCTTACTGTGTGTGAAATCTCTTGCTGGGCTGTTTCTCCCACGCCCCGGGGGGCTCTGGGATTAGCGCACACATCTCCCAGAAAAGAGAAAAGAAGGAAGCTTTGTTTCGTCTTAAGGTAAGGTCGTCATGGTAGTTGGTCACACGTTCTAAGACTCTGCCTTTAGACGTTACGAGTTCAATAGCCAGGAGGATTTTTTCTGAAGATGAGTGGACGTGTAGGGAGTGTGTCGTGCAAGCCTGGAGTAGATGGGGGAAGCATACCTGGAATATTCATGCTTTATCAACGCTATAATCTTCGGACCTCCACGGGGGGGGGGGGACTCCTCGAGATGGTTAAGGTACAGTTGGTAGGGTACAATACCAACCTACCCATTTCCCTCCCTAGGGGCTCACAGTTGGGTTTGTGGCTTTGGGTCAGGTCGGACTTGGGTCGAGTCAGGTCGGGTGAGTCAGGGCAGGTCGGGATCGGGACGGGTTAGAGTCAAGTATTTTTACTGAGACAAGAAAGAAATACATCTCAAAGGGATAGAGTAGCTTAGGCTATTTCTACCACCCGGGTTCGAGTCAGTATGATAGTGCTTGGGGTCGTCGGGTGGGTGGTGGCCGGCGGGGTGGTGACACCTACCTGAAGCTGCCGTAAACGATGAGGAGGATGGATATAAGGAAGGTGGAGACCCGCGACGAGTCCACGATGGAGTACGCCCTGGAACAACAACACTAACATTAGTCATCCTGTTGGAGAGGGAGAGTCGGTGGGGGGTACAGGCACCAGGGGCCGGGAGAAGTGAAGGCAGGTACAGGGTACACAAACAAGCAGAGAAGGGGGTAGAGGGTACAGAGACGGGAAGAGAAGGGGGGTACAGGGTACACAGACAAGCAGAGAAGGGGGTAGAGGGTACAGAGACGGGAAGAGAAGGAGATAGTGTGTACAGAGACGGGAAAGAGAAGGGGGAGTAGAGGGTCCAAAGATGGAAATAAGGGTTGGAACAGTATAGTAAAGCAGGTAGAGACAAAACTATAAGTTAAGAGAGGTTGTATACGGAGGAGAGAAGTAGAGGGACGACAGGGCACACATTTACATAACATGCTATCATCTTAAATAAATAATAATTAATGTATTAATGTAAATCTGCATAATTCACAGAAGCAAGAGGCATCCACCGCCCCAGTACACACTCCATGGTAGTCAGTGTGTGTATTTATTATTTGTATTTGCAGAATCGAGGTATTAGCTCTTGGACCCCCGCCTTCCTAACCAATTTATTTTTTTCTAATAGCGAGTGGGAGGAGGGCAGCCAGAGTACACGTACACACACACACGCGCGCGCGCACACGCACGCACACACACACACACGCGCACACACACACACACACACACACACAATCCAAAAAATAATGCTAAACCAACGCCGAATCAGCGTCATTCACGTTCATCAACGGCAAACGACAACGTTGCCACTCATATTGAGCCCAGTAAGACATTTTGTTTTCTACCACAGACGTGGCCACACATTTACAATGCTAACCAGCACATGTTACGAGCGGACCCCCCCCCCCCCCAAAAAAAAAAGGGTGTGACTCATTCCATCCTTGAGATACCCGTGAACGATCCACCGAGTGCTGTGGTGGGTATGTGGGCCTGCGGGCCGCTCCAAGCAACAGCCTGGTGGACCAAGCTCTCACAAGTCAAGCCTGGCCTCGGGCTTGGGGATAAAAGAACTCCCAGAACCCACCAAGCAGGTATCAACCAGGTATGAGGTTGGTTCTGAAGGATTTATTCTGATTATTGTATACGTGTGAGTGGGTTCTGGGAGGTGTTGTTCTACTCCCCCCAAGCCCAACCTGGGTCAAGGCTTGACTTGGGATAACTTGGTGCAACAGGCTGTGTCTAGGAACCACATATCCACTACAACCCGGTTGGTCCGGCATAAAATGTACTCTCTGGAAAAAAGAGGAGAGATAGAGGTATCACTTAATATATACATGGAAGATACTGGAAGACCAGGTCCCACATTGGCTGTTAAACAACACATACAATTTGTTGTTATGTAATATGGTAGGAAATGCAGAATAGACCCACTGAAGAGTGACGCCCCATAGGCACAAAGAACACAACTCTTGAGCCTCCTCCCAAACAAACGCAAGAAACACTACCATAACAGAAGTGGACTTCAAGAAAAAACTTGGACAAGTTTCCGCTAGAAGTGCCGGAGCAACTGGGTTGTAGTGGACATGTGGGCGGCTACTCCATGCACCAGTCTGCTGGACCAAGTTATCACAAGTCAAGCCTGGCCCCAGGCCGGGCTTGGCTTGTACAAGTCCCAGAACCCACTCTAGTTATGATCCAGATACTTCCTGCGGGAACTGATCTAACTTTTCCTGGAACATGTTCACCCTTGTAACAAGCAACATTTGTTAGTCTTGCTGTGAGACTATTGAAAACTGTGGACCATGATGCTCATACAGAGTTATGAACAGTTATGTTCATATCTGTGCCTACAGAGAGTAGACACAGAGTGAGACACGGTGAGGAGTAGACTGACTTCTGTACCTCTACTCCTAGAGGTACAAAAGAAGTCTACGGCACCTCTTCTCCTCACTGTTTCTATTCTACATTTCCCTTCTGTATCTTTTCGCTTACGTATGTTGTACTCAAGTGAGGTGAGTACAATTAGGTGAGTACTCGCACACACACGCACCTCTTGGGGACATTTTCAAGGGCTCACAATCTACCCAGATAACACGTAATTAACCCCTCACCTAAGTTAATGTAGACGAGCTAAGGGATTCTCAGGCACTCGTGTCAGGCTCCACCCAGATACTTACGTCATGTCCATCACGTGCTGAGCCATCTTGGCGCTGGGCGGCAACACGTGCTGGACCATCTTGGCGGGAAGGCGGGACGAGGGCGCACTAACCCGCCAACCTTTATATCATGCTGAGAAACAGCTGCCGGGAGGATCGCTAGATGCGCGTGCATGTGTTGAGGGCACACGCCTGCAACACCCGCATCCGTTCATACACGCACGCACGCACACGCAGTTTTGACACTTCTCTGGTGAACGGTGACACCCTCGGGAGCGTGGGGTATTCTGGGGGGGGGGGCGCAGGGTTCCCTGGAGGGCCCACTCCAGTGGCTCTAGCGGGCCCGGGCACTCTCAGCACCTGCTACAAGTTCACTGCACAGGGGGAAGGAGAATGCT